CAATTATTGTGCTTGTCTCACCCTAAGGTCCCTTGTGTGGCTGCTAAAGCAGGACACAGGATGTCCTGTGGCTGAACCTCTCTCACAGTGTGGTTTCTCATCATTCACTTGTTTTGCCCAACCTTCTTATGTGACAGCTGGGTCCAAAAGGGAGCATTCCAAGGGGACAGGCCTCAGTGTGCAAGTACTTATCTAGCCTCTGATTGCATCACATTTGCTAATGTTTCATTGGCCAAAGCAAGCCATGTGGCCAAGCCCAGGGGAAGGAACCCCATAAAAGAATGTGAATACCAAAATGCAGGATTCACTGGGAGCCACTATAGAGGCTCAGGGATCCTGGTTTCTGAGCCCACTGGAAGAGTGAGGCAAAGGTGTACGTGACTGATGGACAGTGAGGTTGGGCTGGAGTGGAGGAGAGCGGTCAGGTCAAGAATGTTGACCACATCCTTGTGACCTAGCTGACTAACTTTGTCCTTTGATAGAGCCATTTGAGAAGTCTTCACTTGAGAAGACTAGTTCTCTGTCACTTCCGTCAGCCTCTATTTCCTTAGATATGAACAGTTGGCATCATCTCAGTCATATTTAAGGTACTGGGTAAACAAGTTTCAAGGCAAACCTCCAGGCTGACTCTCCAATGAGATTGCTTCCTTTTAAGCTGTATGTAGGTGGGCTTCACTCCACTTCTTGGCCTTCCTCGTCCTGAGACTTAACTCTGGGCAGTGCCCTGCCATTGTAACCCTGTCACATTACACACTAATCCTTTGCTATGTGACTGCCTCCCTGCTCTGGGTAGTGAGCTTCTCAAAGGAGGGACCTTTCCTATTGGTCAGTGTCACCCAGGTATCCTGTGCAGGACCCTGGGAAATATTTGCTGAATGAATGAGTGAGTGAGTGAATGAATGAATGAATGAGTGATTGACTGAGTGAGTAAAGGCAAGAAAATATCCTGATACTACAGCCAGGCAATGTTTTGGTGCTCAGTGCGGGGAGAGAAGAGGGAGGTGGGAAAGGCCAAGTTACAGGGGAACACGGCCTTAAGTGTGTGGGCTTTGGAGTGGGGAAACCAGGACTTAGAACTGGGCGGGGCAACCTACCAGCTTTGTGACCTTGGCCCAGCCACTCAACTTTTCTGCACTTGTCTCTTTATATGTAAAAGGGGATTAATTCAAGTAACAGATTAATTCAATAAATATTTATTGAATGCAACATGCTAGGTGCTATCCTGGGTGCAGGGACTCAGCAGGGAACTCAGTCTTTTGTGGCAGCCACAGGATCACGCTGCTCAGAGCAACTTTAAGAGAGAAACTCTTGCGAGCAGTGAAGTAGCTAACTTTGCCTCCCTCCACTGCACCACCGCATTCGTGCTGAGGCTGTGGTGAGGGCGCTGGGGCACTGCAGCCTGGGCTCTGCCATCTCAGCCCTTCCTGCCCCCCACCCCCACCCCCATAGGTATCAGACTTGGATCAGGGTCAGAGGCTTTCCTGCCTACCTCTGCTCCTTCCCCTTTATCCTTCAGAGATGTTTCTCCCAATAAAGCTCTTGCATGTCTAATTCTGTCTTGGTGTCTGCTTCCTGGAAGGCCCAAACCAACAGAGCTCTGTTCTCAAGAACTTTACCTGATGGAGATCAAATAGTACCTACCTCTGATGGTCGCTGTGAGGAGTAAATGAGATGATATTAGAGAAGGGCTTAGCAGAAGGCCAGCACCCAGTAAGAGCTCAGTCAAGGATATACATTCTTGTTTCTATTATTATTACGCTCACTGATTTTACTCCCCAGGTGAGCAGATGGGGAATGGTATCTTTCAGGAGTCAGTTTCATTGGTTTTTTCAACCCAGTGGACTGCGCCTGGATCCCCGTGTCCTTTAGAGTTTCTTCAGGAACAAGAGGCCAGAGACTGGAGATGTGAAATCCTGGGAAGATGCTTTGTGGCCTTCAGAAAGTGAGCATGGAGCTTCCAGAAGAATATTCTGATTTTAGGAAGGTCCCAGTGTGTAGGGGAAGAAGCCTAAATGACAGTGTTTGAGGTCTGCCCTTCGCTGAGAGCAGCACTGGCCATTGACTGACGCTTGGAGGAAGGAGCCAAGGGGCCGCAGAACGTAGTGCACGTGAGCACAAGAGACAGGCTGCCCGGGGGCAAAGCCCAGCCCTGCCACTTCCTACCGACTTCCCGGCTCGTTAGGAGATTGAAGGTGATAAAGACAGAGCGTGCAGCACAGAGTAAGTGTCTGAAAACTGCTGGCCCCTCTCCTCCCCACACAACACTTTTATTCTATTATACTTGGAATAGTTAACATAAGTGGAACGTCTCTGGGTTGGAAACTAATGGTGAGGGCCGGGCTAAGGAGCCACTGTCCTAACCTCTGTGGGTTATTGTGCAGGAGAGGAAGGTCCACGGGATGAAAGGAGGGAGGGTTTTGGGGAATGGAAGGAGTATGGCTTTCACTGGGCAAATATTTACTGAGCAGCCACAGATGCCAGCCCCTTTGCTGGGTGCTGGGCTTATGAAGGTGATTAGGACACAGGCATGTTGCTCAGGAGTTCAGATACTAACTGGAGGCCAGGGGTGGACAAACAGGTCTGTAAACAGTGTGCTGGTCCCATGATGAGGCGACACACAGCTTGGGAGCATGGGACCCTGGGTGGATTGGTTTTTGTCATTGCTCCCCTCCCAGACCAAGTGAAGCTCCTCTGGCTTTGTTTCAGATTTTTCCATAGCACACATGCATCCCATGGGTGCTTACTCGTGTCTCCCCTTCCTGCCAGACAGAGAACTCCAAGAGGCCATGGGCCCTGAGCGCCCGAGTCCTGTGCGCCCACAGGGTCTGGTGCAGGACTCCACACACACAGGCAAATATGTATTGATTGAGTGGTCTTCCATCTCCCGTTGTAAATGAGTAGAACAACATTGCTCTCATGGGTGGTGGGTGGAGTCAGTGGGGTCATCAAATGTAAATCACCTCACAGACGTCATTATTGTAGACTTTCCAAATTGATGCAGTCTCTTGTGGGCTAATGTAGTGAGCTGTGCCATCTTTCTGAACTTTCTTACATGGATATGTGAAGGATTAATTAAGTAAATGTATGTACTGTTAGAACAGGGCCTGCCATGTAGTAGACATTCAGAAAGCCTTAGCTAAAACGATGGGTAGAAAGTTTTAGTAACGCAAGATGAATAAGTTCTGGAGGCCTGCTGTGCTGCACAGTCCTACAGTTAACAGCACTGAATTGTACACTTAACCTGTTAAGAGAATAGGTATCACCATAATTAAATTCTTCCTGTGGTCAGAAATTGTTCTCACCACAATTAAAAAAGTCCCCACAAACCAAAATCAAAATAAAAAAGCCCATGAAGGACAAAAATATACATAGGGAAAAACAGAGGCAATGTTATAACTTATTAGAATGCCCAGAACAAATATATCACTTCTAAAATTTATCATTCACATTGGTTTAAATAAGGTGCTGAAAAAATGTGGGGGGAAAAGTGTTAGCTATTACAAGTATTATCATCGTTGCTAGTTTTTTCAGTGTTATATTACCAATCGGAATTCTGAGGTTCAGGGAGCTGAAGCATCTTGCCAGGGACTGCCCAGCTAAATCTGGGCAGAGCAGGCACTAGGAGCCAGGTCTTCTAGAGTCTCAGCCCAGCAGCTCTGGACGTTCTTGGAATCGCCCACCAGAGGGCGCTCTTACCCCAGGGTAGGATCTGGCCAAGGCTCCAGCTGCAGCCTCTTCTCATGAGGAGAGCCGAGCCTTCTAGAGCTAGCAGGATTTTGACCGTGTCTAAGCCTTGTTTTAGAGAGAGAAAAATTAAGCTCTGAGAAGATACGTCTCAGGGCACAGAGGCACCCACAGACAGCAGGTGGCACTGAGGTGGGGTCCCGGTTTGCCCATTTCTGACTCATTTGCTTCCTGCCTCCCTGTGGCATCTCTTGCCCACTTTCCCACAGCCACTTCTAGACTCTTCCTTGCAGAACTTGGTGCTTCCCTGCTGTGTTCTGCTGTCTGGAGTGGAGAGGGTGTTTGGGAGCAGGGCAGGGGTGAGGAAGGCTGGGTAGCCCCCCATTTCTTACCATTCTCTACAGTCTTTCAGGGCAATATGTGTACTGCTGAGGGCAGGGGCCCATGAGCCACATCACCTTTGTCCAAACTCTCGTCTTCCCCTTACCAGTCCTGTGTCTTGGGCAGTTAGTAAACCTATGTCTCTTTGTCCCACCCTTCAAATGGGAGTTATAAAGTACCTGTCACACAAGGTCTTTGTGAGGATTGAGTTAATATGTGCAGAGCACTTGGAGCGGTTGTAAGCACGTGGTAAGAACTATAAAAGCGTTAGTCGTCAGTGTTGTAACTCACCAGCATCCTACCTGGGTATAGGAGCTTAAGTGAGAATTTCAGTGTGACTCATCACAGTCCTCAACTCTTCGCTCATCCGTAGTATCCTTCCATAACAACAAGTGCCATCTACTTGCAGTCAGGCTCTGCAGTGTGCCAAACCTGTGACCTCATTATCTCAGTTAATCCACAGAACCACCACAACGTAGATACTATTACTGTTCCCAACTCAGGGTTGAGGCTTAGTCAAGACAAAGGCATTTAGCCAGGACAACACAGCGTGTGACGGAACTGGACTCACACTCAGGCCTGAGCGATGCCAAAGCTGAGGCTCTTTACCACTGTGCTGTCTGACCTCCTCTTGAAGCCAATTCAAAATCACCTCAGGTCCTCCCAGAAGCCCCAGGCATCCGCTTTGCTCACTGCCCCTCTGCAGGACCTATCTCTCTGAGAAGCAGTCCTGCAGGGTGAGGTTTCCTATCACTCTTATCCTGGGGGACAAAGGAGCAGATTTCACAGATGTCTCCCTGCTTTCGGGCAGAGACATGACATGCTGTGACTGACAAACAAAAAGGCCTCTTAAGATTAGAGCTGAGTTAGCCACACAGCCTTCAAGGGCCACCTTCCTCCCCTCCCATTTCTGCTGCAGCTTGCAGGCCACTTACCTGGGCAGGGTGGGTGCCTGCATCTCAGGTGCGTGAGTTCGCTGAGTTCTGGGCGATCCAGGATGTAAGGCGAGCTCTCAGTGACTCCGGCCAGCCTACCTGGGAGTTTTCCTCTCTCGGCCTGTGATAGAGCCTGTGCAGCGTTGACATCTTTAAGCTAAGAAGGCAAAAGCAGGCACCAACCTACCACTGCAGAATCACAGAAAGTCAGTCAGGGCTGGAACGGACCGTAGGGTGCAGGGAAAAGGGTCAGGATCACACTGAGCAGGAAGAAAGGAGATCAGATTTAAGCCCTTACTTGCCCTCGGTTCCCTTTCTGGTGCCTGCAGCTCCCAGAGGTGCCGAGAAGAGGCTGAGCTGGGATGAGGTGGGAATATGCACCCAGGCCATTGAGTGCATGTGCATTCAGTGCTCTCTGTCTCATACGTGATGATCCTGGAAAACAGGGTTTCTTAACCTCAGCACTAGTGGTGTTGGAGCTGGATAATTCCTTGTCGTGAGGGCTGTCCTGTGTTCAGCAGCATCTTGAGCCTCTACCCTCTAGATGCCATAGCACTCCTGCAGTCGTGTGACAACCAAAAATTTCTCTGAGCATTGCCAGATGTTCCCTGGGGGACATTTGCTCCCTTCCCCACTCCCCCCTCCTGTTGAGAACCAGTGCTTTAAAAGCCGGCTCCTTCCTGATCAGAATCACATATTAAGAACTTGCTATGAGCCATGCTCTGCTGGTACATGAGTCAAGCATGGGCTCTGTCCTTAAGGGACTCAGAGACCAGCGGGGGAGACAGACAGGGTCTCACAGAGACAAGCGCTGGGTGTTCCAAGGGCACAGCAGCAGCTGCTGCGCTGACGGGAGGTCCAGGAAGGCTTCACAGGAGGACACGGCAATTTTTCCTGGCAGGCAAGGGGGTGAATGACACTCCAGGAAGAAGGAATGGAATGTACAAAAGTCAAAGTTGTGAAGTGTGACATGCTGCGGGAAAAAGTATTCAACTGTGGCTGTGTCCCAGGGTGCAGGTGGGGTGTGGTTAGGGAGCAGGCTGGAGAGAGGAGAGGCAGGGCGAGAATGCTGCTGGGGACAGTGATGATGGCTAAGTTAACACATACAGGGAAGGTACAGCTCAGTGGTAGAGTGCCTGCTTAGTGTGCACAAGGTCCTGGGTTCAATCCCTGCTACCTCCATTAAAAAATTAATTAGTAAAAAATCTTAAAAATTTAAAAAAACCCCCACACATTATGTGCCACACTGTTCTAAGTGTCTTATGTGTATTGTTTCTTAATCTTCATGGCAGTCTTTGAGGGTTATATCATTATCACTTCCACTTTATGGATGGTAAAATGATGCACAGAGAGATTATGTAACTTTCCCAGGCCATTCAGCTTGGGAAAGTTAATGGAAATTTGATTTCAGGAGCCAAGGATTTTAAGCAGAGCAGTGTCTCCATTATCTTTTGCTGCATAACAAACCACCCCAAATTTACTGGCTTCACCAATGCCATTTTATCATATTGCATGAGTCTGTGGGTTGGCTGGGGCTCAGCTGAGTGGTTCCTCTGCTCATCTGGCTGGGGCTCTCTCATGCAGTAGCAGTGGGATGGTGGCTGTCTCTGTGGCTTGGGGCTGGATGTCTGCCACTTGGATGTTCCTCCATGGTGCTCCTCTCCCTCTGTCTTCCTTGTGGGCCTTTCCCCATGACCACTCTCTCCAGCAGAGGAGCCTCTTCTTCTTGGTGGCTCGGTGGCTGAGGACTCGGAAGTCCCCGGGTGTCATTTCCTCTGCCTTATGGTTCTGGTCAGAGTGGTCACAGGCACAGCCCAGATTCACAGAAGGGGTCATGGGTTCCGCCGCTGATGGGAGGAGTGGCGTGCCCATACAGGGAGGCAGGAGTGGAATCGTTTGAGGCCATTTTTAGATACCAGATATCACAGCCAGATTTTTATTCCAAAAAGAATGTTCTAGCAACATTGTGGGGGTGGACTGAAGACAGCAAGACTAAAGACATGAAAATGAATTACAAAGTCACTGTAATAGCTTTGGTTGAATTCGTCACTCAGATTCTGCCTTCTGTCACTGCGGAAAAACCAGTGAAATTGTGTTTTAATAATAATAACAATAATCATACTAGCCTACATTTATTGAGCACATACTGTATGCCACACACTGTGGTGAGTGAGTACTGTCATACACAATTTAATCCTCACAGTTAGCTCATGAGGCACATTCCTATTTTACCTTTCAGAAGCCTGAGATCAAGTGTGTTAGTCACCTCGGGCTGCCATAAAAAAGGTCCACAGACTGAGTAGCTTAAACAACAGAAGTGTATTTCCTCACAGTTCTGGAGGTTGGATGTTCGAGATGAGGTGTTGGCAGGGTTGGCCTCCCCCTTGGCTTGTAGCTGGCTGTCTTCTCCCTGCGTCCTCGTGTGGTCTTTCCTCCGTGTGTGTGTCCTAATCTCTTTTTGCAAGGATACCAGTCATATTGGATTAGGGCCCACCCACATGACCTCTTTTTACCCTCGTCATCTCTTTAAAGACCCTATCTCCACATACAGTCACATTCTGAGGCTTAGGGTTAGGGCTGCAACATACAAATTTTGAGGGGACACAGTTCAGCCCATTGCATCAGGGAATTAGCCTCTGCTCATCAGGTTAAGAGGTGGGAAGCCAGAATTTGACCTGGTCTGCCTGACTTCAGGCTCCTCTTAATAACTACTCCTTATACTATTACCCCACATTGTCTCCAGTTCTCATCCCAAGCAGAAAAGAATCAGGTGGAGAAGACGGCCAGCCTGGAGAGCTTTGCACTTAGGACCTAGCTTTTTATAACTGAGAAACAGGGGTTGAATTCCGGTCACCTGTTCTGTGTCCTTCACCTGTCACTGTGTCATCGTGATCTTTATAGAAGGGCTCTTTTAAAGGTGGCAGGGGTGGCATATCCTGATAGAACCATGCTAGGGGATGATAGTGAGGATTACTAATACTTCATGAATGTGTACAGTGTGCCAGCAGAATGCCAAATGCTTTACATACATTATTTAATTCTCACAGTGATCCTGTCAGGTGGGTACTGTTATGTTTCCTGTTTCACATATGGGGAACCTGAGGCAGAGTGGTGCATTAACCTGCCTAGATTCACCCTGCTAATAAGTGGCAGACTCAAGCTGAGCACTCAGGCCGTCTGAATCCAGATCGTGTACTCTTACCTATCATGCTTCCAAACTGCCTCTGGGGACCTGGTGAAGAATGAACCTATACTCGAGTTGTTTGGGGTTTTTTTGATGTTGAGTTGTATGAGCTGTTTATAAATGTTGGATATTAACCCCTTATTGGTCGTATCATTTGCAAATATTTCCTCCTGTTCAGGAGGTTTTTTTTTTCATTTTGTCGATGATCTCCTTTGCTGTGCAAAAACTTTTAAGTTTAACTAGGTCCCATTTATTTATTTTTGCTTATATTTCCATCACTCCTAGGACAGAGATCCAAAAAAATATTGCTGTGATTTATGTCAGAGTGATCCACCAGTATTTTCCTCTAGGAGTTTTATAGTATCTGGTCTTATATTTAGGTCTTTAATCCATTTTGAGTTTATTTTTTTCTTTGGTGTTGGAGAATGTTCTAATTTCATTCATTTACAGGTAGCTGTCCAGTTTTGCCAGCACTGCTTACTGATGAGACTGTCTTTTCTCCATTGTACATTCTTGCCTCCTTTGTCGTAGATAACTGACCATAAGTGCGTAGCTTTATTTCTGGGCTTCCTGTTCTGTCCCATTGATCCATATGTCTGTTTTTGTGCCAGGAATAAACTCTTCTGATTACTATAGTTTCATAGTGTAGTCTGAAGTCAGGGAGCCTGATTCCTCCAGCTCTGTTCTTCTTTCTCAAGGTTGTTTAGTCTATTAGGGGTCTTCTGTGTTTCCATACACATTTTGAAATTATCTGTTTATATTCTGTGAAAAATGCCATTGGCATTTTGATAGAGATTACATTGAATCTGTAGGTTGCCTCGAGTAGTATGGTTAATTTGACAATATTAATTCTTCCAATCCAAGAACAAGATATATCTTTCCGTCTGTTTGTGTCATCTTCAGTTTCTTTCATGGGCAGAAGACTCGAATAGATATTTTAACAAAGAAGAAATGCATATGGCCAACAGGCATATGAAAAGATGCTCAACATCACTAATCACCAAGGGAATGTACATCAAAATCACAGCGAGATGTCACCTCACACCTGTCAGAATGGCTATCATCAAAAAGAACACAAGTAACAAAATTGATGAGGATGTGGAGGAAAGGGATCCCTCATACACTGTTGGTGGGAATGTAAATTGGTGCAGCCATTGTGGAAAGCAGTATGGAGGTTTTTCAAAAAACTAAAAATATAACTACCATATGATCCAGCAAAACCACTCCTAGGTATATATCTCAAAAAAACCCCAAAATACTAATTCAAAAAGATACATAGACCCTGGGGTTTATAGCAGCATTATTTACAATAGCCAAGATACGGAAGCAACCTAAGTGTTCATCAACAGATGAATAGATACAGAAGATGTGGTATATATGCACAATGGAATACTACTCAGCCATAACAAAGAATGAAATATTGCCATTTGCAACAACATAAATGGCCTTGGAGGGTATTATGCTAAGTGAAACAAGTTAGAGAAAGACAAATACTATATGATATCACTTATATGTGGAACCTAAAAAATACAACAAACTAGTGAATATAACAAAAAAGAAGACTCACAGATATAGAAAACAAACTAATGGTTACCATTGGGGAGGCGGGAGGGAGCAATATGGGGGTAGAGGATGAAGAGGTATAAACTTTAGGTATAAAATAAGCTACAAGGATACACTATACAACACAGAGAATATAGTCAATATTTTATAATAACTATAACCTTTAAAATTGTGAATCACTATATTATACACCTATAACATGCAATGTTGTACATTAACTGTACTTCAATTTAAAAATATGAAACTGTGCTATTTCTACAAAAAGAATCTAAGTCAGAGAAGACCCATTAGGCCATCATTTCCCCAGAAGTTTTCAGTTGCAACCATGAAGATGTTTATTGCTATGAATCAAAATAAAATACTGATACTTTTCTTATTTATCAATTATAGAAATCATCTACTGACTTGCTGTTATCCAAAGTAAAAATGTC